ATTGTATAAACTTGATATGCTAATGAATGTAAATTATTGTTATTCTCAATATTTTGATCGGTGCCTGCTTTCTACTTTGCATCGTATAATTGATTTATTTCCTGCACTAGGTACGCCTAGGTTATGGAAGGGCTAAGAAATGGTCGAGGTCGTGGGCGAGGGACTAGACAGGCCCAACTTCAAAGGGATGACCAGGGATCGACAACTGGACCGACCCAAGGCCAGGAAAATATTGAGGGTAATCAAGTGGCTACTGCCATTAATAGGATGACTGATATCCTAGAGCGCTTAGCTGATAGACAAGGTCTTGGAACCGTTTAACCAACCTGGGGGTCAGGAAAGAGGAGAGGATGGAGCCTTAGAGAGGTTCTTACAGTTCAACCCGCCAAAGTTTTTTGGAGAACCTGATCCTGAAATAGAGGAGAATTGGTTAGAGAGGATGACCAACATATTCGCCGCTTTAGACTATACTGAGGATAGGTGAGTGAATTTTGCTGCTTTCCAATTTGAAAGAGTGGCTCGTGCTTGGTGGAACATGATAAAAGGAAAATGGGAGAGAGTTCAAATCCCTTGGATCTGGGAGAACTTCACGAGGGAATTTAATGAAAAGTTTCTTCCACCCTTGATTCAAGAAAAGAAAGAGGATGAATTTATCAAGTTGAAACAAGGAGCCCTTAGTGTGGCAGAATATGAAGGAAAATATACTAAACTTTCTAAGTACGCTCCTGAATTGATAACCAATAAACGGAAGAGGATTAGACGGTTTGTATAGGGACTTAATGTGGAAATTCAGGAGGGCTTTCCCGCAACCCAAATTTCTACCTTTACTGAGGCTTTAGAGAAGGCACAAAGGGTTGAGAGTGCAAGACTACAAGTGGGAGACTTCCACAATAAAAAGAGAAATTTCTCTAACTCTGCGTTTGGGCAGGCTAGTAAGAGTGCACAACCTTCCAAAATGGGAAGAGGAATGGGAGGAATAAGGACCACTGGAGCTTCTAGGGGAGCTTTATCCAGAGGAGGTCGCAATGGCCCGGCTTAGGCTAGAGGAGCGCCTTCTATTGGTTTGGTTGTGACTCCTCAAGTTACTTGTGGATATCGTGGTAAATCCAACCACTCTGAAATGACTGCTGGAGGAAATTGGGGAAAGGTTTGTTTTGTGGTAGTGTTGAACATCAAGTCGCCAACTGTCCAAAATCACCAAAAACAGGAGGTAACCCTTAGAGACCAGAAAAGTCAAACTCTAAGCAGACCAGTATCGGAGGAAGTCGACCGAAAGTACCAGCTAGGGTTTATGCACTGGATTATCAGCAAATCCCTGAAGCGACTAAAGTGGTTGAAGGTACAATTCCAATCTTTCATCGCTTAACTAGAGTTTTAATTGTTTCGGGTGCAACACATTCTTTTGTAAACCTTAATTTCATGAGTGGGATAGATTTGAAGTCAGTTAAGTTACCGTATGATTTGGAGGTTAAAACACCTACTGGAGATCAAAGTTTAATTGCTAACCTAGTGTATAGAGATTGTGAAGTCTGTGTTAGGGAGTGGAAATTATTGAACGACTTGATAAGTTTAGCAATTAAGGGATATGATGTGATTTTAGGAATGGATTGGCTAGCCCGTTATAATGCCCAGTTAAACTGCTGAACAAAGATTGTAGAATTGTGTATTCTAGGGGAGACAACCCTAAAGTTGGATGAAGGGGTAAATTGGCTTCGTCCGCACTTATTTCAGGGATTCGGGTTAGAAAATTATTAAGTAAAGGAGCTAAAGGGTATTTGGCTTTCCTTATTAACACCCCTACTGATAAGGTGAATTTGGAGGACGTGCCTGTAGTAAAAGACTTTTCAAATGTTTTTTTTGAAGAGTTAGAGTCTTTACCCTCGGAACGGGAAATAACTTTTAAGATGATATAGCTCCCGAAGTACCACCTATCTCTAAGACACCATATCGAATGGCACCAGCGAAATTGAAGGAGTTGAAATTGTAACTGCAGGATTTGTTGGATAGGGATTTTATATAGGAGAGTGATTCTCCGTGGGGAGCCCCGGTTTTATTCGTAAAGAAAAAGGATGGGAGTTTAAAACTACGTATAGACTATAGAGGCTTGAATGATGTCACAATTAAGAATAAGTACCCATTGCCCCACATTGATGAATTGTTTGATCAGGTGCAAGGGGCGGTAGTATTTTTGAACTTGGATTTGAGACAGGGTTACTATCAATTGAGGATTTTGGAGAAGGACATACCCAAGACTGCTTTTAACTCGAGGTACAGACACTTTGAATTTGCAGTGATACCATTTGGGTTAACTAATCCTCCTACAGCTTTCATGGATCTAATGCATAAGGTTTTTAAGCCTTATCTAGATCAATTTGTGGTGGTCTTCATTGATGACATTCTAATTTATTCTAAGAATGTGAAAGATCATGAGAAACATTTGAGAATTGTTTTACAAACCCTGAGGGAACACCAGTTATATGTTAAGTTTAGCAAGTGTGAGTTTTGGTTAAAAGAAGTGACTCTCTTGGGACATATAATTTCTAAGGATGGGATTAAAGTAGATCCAGCTAAAGTTAATGCTGTTTCGAAATGGAAACGACCGGAAAACCCCACCGAAGTTCGGAGTTTTATTGGATTAGCAGTGTAATACCGGAGATTTATCCAAGATTTTTCTAGAATTGCTGGACCAATGACCGAGCTGACCAAGAAGAATGGGAAGTTTATTTGGAGTTCTAAGTGCGAAAAGAATTTCCAAGAATTGAAAAGACGTTTAACCAAAACCCCAGTGTTAGCTCTACCCAATGGGAATGATAGTTTTGTGGTTTATATAGATGCCTCTAAGGAAGGATTGTGATGTGTTTTGATGAAAAATGACAAGGTGATAGCATATGTCTCTAGAAAATTGAAACCGCATGAGTGGAATTACCCGACCCATGACTTGGAATTGGCAACGGTGGTATTTGCTTTAAAGAAATGGAGACATTATCTGTATGGGGTGACATTTGAGATTTTTACTGATCACAAAAGCTTTAAATATCTGTTTTCTCAAAAGGAGCTAAATTTGAGGCAACGTAGATTGATAGAATTTCTGGAGGATTATGATTGTACTATAAAGTACCATCCAGGAAAGACCAATGTAGTAGCCGATGTTTTGAGTCGTCAGGTGCAAATGGCTGGGTTGATGATTAAGGAACTTTATTTGTTAGAAACAGTTAGCTATTGGAATCCTCGATTGGAACCGAGGAAAGTAATCCTAGGGAACATTGTAATAAATTTCACTTTGTTGGAACGTATCAAGGGATCTCAAGAAAATGACACTGAAGTGCAGAAATGGTCGGAAAAAGTTGAAAAAGGAGAAAAGTTGGATTTTAACCTGGGATTGAATGGTATTTTGAAGTTTCGGAATTAAATAGTGGTGCCAAACGATGAGGAACTTAAGAAGGAGATTATAGAATAGGCACACCGATCGAAGTTTACGGTACATCCTGGAGGGAATAAAATATACCAAAACTTGAAGAGTCTGTATTGGTGGGAGAATATGAAAAGAGAAATTGCCCAAATTGTCCAAACCTGTTTAATTTGTCAACAGGTTAAAGCCGAACATCAGAGACCATTGGGACTTTTACAACCTTTGGAGATACTGGAATGGAAATAGGAAAATATCACCATGAATTTTGTATCAAGATTAGCGAAGACACAAAGAGGCCATGATGCTATTTGGGTAATAGCGGATAGACTGACCAAATCATCTCACTTTCTACCGATTAACATGAAGTACCCATTGGAGAAGTTAGCTAAGCTATAGCTAGATGAGATTATCAGGTTACACGGAATCCCCGTGAGTATTGTGTCCGATAGAGACCCGAGATTCGTATCAAGGTTCTGGCAAAAGATGCAAGAGATGTTAGGGACTAAATTGAATTTTAGTACCACTTATCATCCTCAAACCGATGGACAATCTGAGAGGACAATCCAAACTCTTGAGGATATGTTGAGGACTTGTGTTCTGGATTTTGGGGAAAGTTGGAGTAAGTTTTTTATTCTGGTGGAATTTGCCTATAATAATAGTTTTCATTCTTCTATACAAATGGCTCCGTATGAAACGCTTTATGGTCGGAAATGTAGGTCTCTGATTTGTTGGGATGAAATAGGTGAACGGAAGATTTTAGACCCGACTACAGTGTCTTGGATTGAGGAAACTAATGAAAAGGTAAAGTTGGTACGCCAAAGAATTCAAACCGCTCAGAGCCATCAAAAGATCTATGCGGATAATCCGAGGAATGATTTGGAATTTGCGGTTGGAGATCTAATATTTCTTAAGATTACACCTCTGAAAGCAAGTTTGATGACTGTGAAAGGAAAGAAACTACAACCGAGGTTTCTGAGACCTTATAAGATTATCCAATACGTGGGGATTGTGGCACACAAGTTGGAGTTGCCGCCGAGTTTATCCCGAATTCATAATGTATTCCATGTGTCCGTGCTTAAGAAGTATTATCCGGACCCTTCTCACATTTTTCAACCGGAAAGTATTGAAATTGATGAAATTTTGACCTATGAGGAAAAACCGGTAAAACTTCTGGATAGGAAGGTGAAAGAATTGAGAAATAAACAGATACCGTTGGTGAAAGTTCTTTGGAGGAACCACGGTCTAGTGAAAGCGACTTGGGAAGTCGAGGAAGCAATTCAAGAAAAGTGTCCAGACCTGTTCATCAATCAAGGTAAATTTTGAGGACGAAATTTTCTTAAGGGGGAGAGGATGTGATGTCTCGCAAAAATTTATTATTTTTAAAATCCATTCCGAGCATATTTAAATATTTAATTGCCCATTTACTCTTTTTTTTTTTATTATTAAAACCTTTATTAAACCAAAAAACACAAACACAGCGGACCAAACGAAAATAAGGAGTACTTACTCCCTTACAAAGAGGACCAATAAAAACTCAAACCCACAACTCCTTAGTACTATCTGAACCCGTAATGCCTGCCGAACTACCAAACTACCCATCCTCAGATGACCACCGCACCCCTGGCACTCCCCGGGAATCCAGAACTATGGCCGCCCGAACAATTGCCGGCAAATGTGAACCCTCCTCAAACACATGAGAACCAGTTAACCCAACCGCTGCAAGCTTATCAGCGGGAACGTTGGCCTCCCGGAAAACATGGGAGATGGTAGCCGGAAAACCCTCCAAAAAACGTCTCACCTTCCTTAGAGAGTTACATAGTGGCCACTTCGCAACCGCCCCAGATACCACTAAATGAACCAAAACCTTGGAGTCAACCTCAACCAACGAAGGAGCCAGCCCCCTTTGACGACACAATTGCAACCCCTCCAGCAGCGCCAAGCACTCTGCCTCAAGCACCCCGTGCTCCCCGAACTCCTTATAAAAGGCAAAAATCAATTTCCCCTGATAGTTGCGCACTAGCCCACCACCCATGGCCCTCCCGTTAACCACACCAGCATCTGTATTCAATTTAAACTCTCCACAGGGAGGCTTTTCCCAGGCAATCGCCCGAGGGGAACTTCGCCTGGCAGGACAGCTGACCAACCGCCGCCACTCACAATCCTCATCCCCCTTGAAATGAAACCCCCTAAGCTTATTTGCCCTCCCCAACAGTTCTATAAAATTCTCCACATCCCAAATTATCCTGTTAACCTCCCACCGGCCCCCCTGAAAGCGCTCCTGGTTCCTAGCCCTCCAAAGAAACCAACACACCACAATTGGCAATATCACCCGAATATGATTCATGGACGATGTATCGGAAGATAGGAACCAAGCAATGAAAACCGAAGCCATGGTCGAGCAATTTCTCATCTGAAACCCAAACCTACGCGACACCCTCGTCCAAACTTGGGAAGCAATCGGCCCAGTCACAAACACATGCAAGAGATCCTCCTCCTCCCCATAACAACACCCACACCGGGAAGGAATCATCACCCCTCGCGACTTCAACACCACATCCAAAGGGACGAACTTCCTTACCAAGCGCCACGCTAAAAACACCATTTTTGCTGGCAAAGCTGGCTGCCCAAGGAGAGAGTCAACCAAGGATGGACACCTCCGTTGCCGAAGAAACTCCCACGCCGAGTTTACTGAAAAAAGACCCGATGAAGAAGGCACCCAAACCAATCTATCCTTCTGAGAAACCTCAAATGGGATGTCCCTTATCACACGGATAACCGAATCCGGCACCCACTGAGCAAGACGAGCCTCATCCCAACCATCCCTGGTTAAAAATTCAGACACAAGAAAATGCGGATGCTCCGCACCCACCACTACCTCTTCCAACGGATTATCTAAAGCCCACCGATCCTTCCAGAAGTCCACCAGGCCTTCCCCTATACACCACCTAATCTTCGGCTCCACCACCACCCTGATCGCCTCAAGGCGGCGCCAAGTCCTTGAAGGCCGCACAGACGAGGCCTCCAACGGATGACAACCCGAACTGTACTTTGCATGCATGAATTCTGCCCAAATGGAGTCACCACTCCGGAATCGCCACCATAGCTTAGCCGCAAAAGCCCGAGACATGTCCCTAAACGATCTAAACCCCAGATCCCCTTCCTCTGAAGGAAAACACAGTCTCTCCCATGAGGCCCAATGCATACGCTTCTCCCCCCTTTGATCCCACAAAAAGGAATTACAAATATTACCCAAACGGATGAAAACCGCCTTAGGAGGATTCAGCACCTGAAGCAAATACATAGGCAACGACGCTAGAACATGGCGAATTAAAACCATCTTCCCTCCAAACGAAAGCAATTTAGTACTCCAGTGTCCAAGATGGCCCCGCATTTTTGCCTCAATACCGTCGAACAACAAACTGAGACACCGCCCTTTATAAATAGGGGCACCCAAATATGTAAAAGGGAACCGAGCCCGATGAAACCCCAAGACCCTACTTACCATCTGTTCCTGCGCCTCAGTCGCTCCCGACGCCAAGAAGAAAGCACTCTTATTGACATTCACCCTCTGGCCTGAAGCCTGTTGGTACCCCTCCAAAAACCCCTTTACTGCATTCAGGCAGTCCTCAGAAGACCTTGTATAGATAAGCATATCATCCGCGAAGGCGAGATAAGGCACCTGAGACCCCGCCAACACAAAAAGCCTTCCCGGCCTACTAAGCAACAAGTGGTGCAAGCCACGGCCCAAGAATTCGGTCACTAACACAAACAGACCCGGTGAAACTGGGTCCCCTTGCCGAACACCCCGTGACGACTTGAAAAAACCCGCAGCCTCTCCATTTACCAAAACCGAAAACCAATTGTTAGAAACTAACCTAAAGAAAATATCCACCACCCGCTCCTGAAACCCAAATTGCCTCAACATAAACAACAGAAATGGCCACTCCACTCTGTCATACGCCTTCTCCATATCCAACTTGAGCATGATGTTCGGATGCCGCAAGCGCCTGTCTAAATCCATCACTAACTCCTGTGTGAGCAGAATGTTATCCGTTATCCCTCGACCAGGGACGAAACCTGTCTGCCACGGGGAGACTAACGACGGGAGCACCCTCCCCAACCGACGAGCAACCACCTTTGAAATAATTTTGGAACAAGTGTTGCACAAACTTATTGGTCTAAAGTCTTTCCAGCACGATGCGCCCGCCACCTTAGGCAGAAGAACAATAGAAGTACTAGTAAAACTCCTAGGCAAACACATACCCTGAAAAAAGGCCTTCACCGCCTCCAGCAAATCCAACTTAATAATCGACCAACACCCTTGATAAAAACCTGCCCCAAAACCATCCGGCCCCGGAGCACTATCCGCCTCCATTCCAAAAATCACCTCTCGCACCTCTTCCATCTCAGGGAGTCCCGCAAGCAACCCATTATCCTCTGCCGACAATTGGGGAACCGTGAAGGGAACCGATGGCGGCTGCCACCCATGTTGCTCAGAAGCAAACAACGAGGAGACGAAATCCACAGCTGAACCCCGAATAGCCTGTATATCCTCCAACCATATCCCTGCTGCATTCTTAATACATGACACAAAATTGCAGTTCCGACGCTGCCGAAACCGCGAGTGGAAATATGCCGAATTGGCATCCCCCACCTGTAACCACTTGACACCCGCCTTCTGTCTCCAATACTGACATTCCGCTGCCGATTCCCGCGCATACACCGCCTTCGCCTCCTCCAGTGAAGCCCTGGCTGCTGGATCGCGGCTCATATCAAACTCCCCCTCACGCTGTTTCATAAGGACCTCAGCCTCCTTGACCTTGGAGAAAATATTTCCATACACCTGAGCATTCCAGACCCGTAGACCAGCCTTCACCATTCTCAATTTATTATAGAACTTTGCCATCCCCTCGCCTTCCACTGTCTTCCCCCATTCACGCTGAACCACCTCCTGAAACCCAGGATGACCCCGCCACACATTTAGAAATTTAAACGAGCGTTTGGGTGGACCCCCATTCTGGCAACAGATCAATAGAGGCGCATGGTCCGAACGGCCCCTGGCCAGATGGGACACATGCGAGAGATCAAACCCATCCGCCCACTCCCGATTCATCAAGGCCCTATCCAAACGTTGCCACACCGTACCATTCGTCCATGTAAACGCAACACCATCAAAAGGCACCTCCGACAACCCACAACTTCCAATCGCCTCATTAAACTCTTCCATATTTCTTTGATTAGCCGGGGACCCCCCTACGCGCTCCTGCATACTGGAAATGACATTAAAATCCCCTGCCACTAACCACGGGCCACACACCTCTCCCGACAATCCCTCCATAGCCGACCACAACTCACGGCGCCCCACCCTCGAACATCTAGCATACACTGCTGAAAAATGAACCGAACAACCCGACGAGAATCCAATATGCATATGAAATAGTTGTTCAGCGAAATCCCTGAAGCTGAGAGACATGTCATTAAACCAGAAAACCCAAACCTTATTCTGTAATGCACCCCAAGCCTTATCGAACCCCAGTGACCGACGGAGCACCTCCATCTGCGGAGGGTCCGACAAAGGTTCCAGGAGAACAAGTAACCGAATTTTATGACCTTTACAAATGTTCTTTAAATATCTAAGGGAGTCCCTGCGAGACGCCCCACGAATATTCCAAACAACCAACCTAATGGGATTTAACATTAGACCGCAAAGAATAATGAGTTTGTGATTGGAGAGGAACCTGATTCAAAAGAGATTTTGCCGCTCGACCTCCCTTTTGTCTCACACCTCGCCTGCCCGACTCCAAGGACTGGTATTGCGCATCCCCCTGCACCGCTCCATCCCGCGGACCTTCAGCCGGGCCGACAGGCAGCCTGTGATGCAACACTATCTGGAAATTCCTTAGTTGCTCCCATGGCACAACCTCCCCTGGAACGTCTCCATCCGAGAGTTGACGCCTATGTCTCTTACCTGCCGCCCTTGCAATATCTGCCGAACTTGAAGGAATGCGCTCAAAATCCTGAACCTCCATATCTGAAAGCGACTGAAGAATGCCGAAGGAATTCCGTGTCTCCTCCTCCAACACAGCAACCTGCACACTGTCCCCCCTCAGCCAGCCACAAGCCTCCTCCATGCCTGCCCTGTCCGGAGACACTGGGCACACAATCACACCGCCCGAAACACAGTTCTCACCAGCACCAACCTCCACCCCCATCCCCGCCTCACCTCCCAACAGGGCCGGCGTCTCCGTCTCCTCCGCCAGAATCGAGGAGCCCGGGTCCTTAGTGCCCGTTTCCTTCATTGTGACATCCACCTCCCGCTCCAACTCCTTCCCCGCCTCCTGTGCCCCTGGATAATACTCCTGCTTATCAATATCGATATCGACCCGTACCCCTTCGCTGCCATGTCCCAGATCTGCAGGCCCCCCAGGGCACTGATGCGCCCCACCCAACAGTAAATTATCTCCAGTTCCCGACAGATCATTAGCCCCCTTTGGCCTAAACACTGCCGCAGCTTTCCCTACCTCCCGGACCTCCCTCTTCTCCATTTTAAGTGCTGGGTGTTTCCTAAAGCACTCCCCATCTTCATGACCAAACCGATGACAAAAACCGCAGAATTTTGGCCAACTCTCATACACCACCTCCTGCCAAAAACCCTCCTGCTCCTCCCCAATCCATACCCGTTTGGGTGGGCATTTGGAGATATCCATCTCAATCAACACTCTTGCTACGGACGGCCGCCTGAGAGACAACGTCGCCGAATCAATCTTCAAACATCTGCCCAGCAAACCAGCCAGTTTAGCGATGTACACAGCATTGAACAAAGGCAACGGCAGGAATGGCAGGGACACCCACACAGGCGCAAACCTAGAATCCTGGTTTGCTTTGAAATCCAGTGTCCACTTCGATATCAGCATTTGCGCCCCTTTCACAAACCAGGAACGTCGAACAAAAAGGCGTGTGAAATCCTCCTCTAACGATGGTCTGATCAGAACATGATTCAAATCCAACAGACCAACTTCACAATCCCCTTTGAGCCCCAGCGACACAAAGAAACCGCGAATTACTTCCATAGGCGGCCGACGAAAAGGAAAACGCCCCACCAAAGCATTCTGGAATGGGGATGAAAGCAAGGTCATCTCCTGATGGGATAACCTCAGCGCAGGTTCTCCTCGATGAGTCGAACACCACCCCAGATCCGGCACTGCCTCCCCCTCCCTCCGAGAACCCGCGAGCGCATCGACAAAAGACTTACCCACTGCCGCTCCTACATGAGGATCCCCAGTGGCCGGCGGCGGCCACGATGGCCCCGCCATGCACCAAAACTAGTATTAGGGTTATTCTATTTTTGGTAACGTACGATAAAAGTTTTTATCCAAAATGGTCCAACTTCCGGCCAATTCTCGGGCTAAATTGCCCATTTACTCTGATTATTATTTTCTAACCTCTTTAGACCTAATTACATGGATTTATAGTTTCGTTATATTTTTAAAGTGACTCGTTTCAAAATTTAATTTTTTGGAAGTTCATTAAGTGAAAATAGTGAATACACAATTTGGGATTTTAGCTGGTTTGGAAATACCATAACCTTGGAAAATTAGAGACTTGCACAATGGTTTTGAAATAGGTATTTATGTGCTTAAATATTCAAGTGATAGTTATTAGTACCATCGTTATGAGAATTTCTTGGAAGTTTCGATTTATCGCGCTTAATTTGGAGATACGCGTTTTTACACGCGCGATTTAATTGATAGACTTTAAACCCTTATTTTGGGACAATTAAGAGTAAATAATATTAATATGATTATAAGTATATTGGAGGTTTAGTGCACTAGTGAAATGAACGTGAGAGGAATCGAGCACAAAAAGCGCGCGTACAAGCACTATTGAAGAGTTGACTTTTGCACAAATTCTAGCCACACAAATGAAGCTTTCTTAGGAAGCCAAATTAGATCAAAACACTCTCTCTCTTCCTCACAAAGTGGCCGGCCATCAGCTGCAAAAATAACCCAAGGAGTTCTTCATTTTTCATCTCTAAATCTTGCACAAATCATCTCCAATTCCTTCCAAATTTCACACACACTTAACTTAATACTTGGAGATCATCTTAAGCTACAAAAAGAGGGAGCTTTTCACGGTTTTAATGAGCTAAGAGAGGGCCGAAATTCTGCCTTGTTCACAAACACAAGTAAGTGACAATCAACCTTCAAATTCTTGGCCTATGGAAGTTGATTTACGCTTATGAGCTTAGATATTCATGTGGGTGGCTTGTTATTGTTGGAAAATTTTGACTGTGGGCTCTATGAACTCCCACTCTTGGATTGATGGCTGATGTGATGTTCAATGATGGATTTAATGTTGCTTTAGTGCTCAAATTGGTAGATTAATGGTGCATAGCTAGTATAAACTTCAAGGACTGCATGGATGTAAAGTTTTCAATTCTGTCCCCTGTTATGATCGTGCCTCTTTTTGTGATATTTTGGGGTTTTAATGGCTTGCATATGATGTTTATATGTTGTATAGATGATGTATAAAGTTTCATCGAAAAATATTGAGGTTTGGTTGGTCAAATGGATTAATCTCGGAAAGTTAGCAAACCTGAAAAAATTTCCACATAATGCTCAGACAGCCTTCTTGTTTCATCCATAATTCTGTGCTCTGATGTCGAAATCAAGTGCCGTCAGTGGAATTTGAAACTAGACGTTCCCAACTTTCCAACGGTATAAAATGTAACCCCTAATTCCACCCGAGTATCCCGTCCCGTACCAACCATTTAAAGATTACTGTCTTATTTCTCTGTTTTCTTGGAACGGAGTTCAGAAGCTGCAACTTGAGGCTCGAATTTGAGCTAGTTGTGTGCTGAATTTCAAAATGATTTCTTCAGTGAAATTATATTTTTATGAATGTATTTTCCAACGCCACCAACCATGCTCAATTCCAAGTTGAATTGAGTGATTTGTGATCAGAATACGAAACCTGTCCTGTTTTTGAAAACCCTAAATTTTGGGCAGAATTGATGCTAGACTTGGCGTGGACTTGCCAATTGAATTTCTTGGAATTAAAACACTTACCAAATGTACCATGAATGTCCCTTAGACTTTTCCTACACAAATGAACCATGTTTGAAGGATTTTTCTTGGCCAAATGTTTGGAATGGAAAACAAAACGCAAGGCAGTTTTGAATGAACGCCTAAAGCTCCGAGGTACATTTCTTCCTCATTTCTTATATTGGTGAGTGTCAAGTGTATGAATACTTGATACATGCTTAATTGTTATAATTGTTTGAAAATTTTGAAAATAGAGGCAAGTGTGTATTTTACCGCATTCGTTCTTATTTGAAATAATTGATTCATGGTTTAATTGTACCAAATGAATTATGAATGACTTAATTGAATGAAATGAGATGATTGAATGAAATAAAATGGTATGCTATGACTGCATACGTCATTGGAGTGAATCTCTTCGACTCTCAAATGTAAATGGGGGACGCCCAAACTCATAGGCCGACCTTGGACTCGAGCCAGCATGGGCTTGGTCGGGAACCTTGGCGAGTCATGAGACAAATAAGCTCGACCTAATAAGAGATCTTACTTGGCATACTCGTGAAGTATCACCTTATAAATTTCTGGCGGGCCCAGGAGGTGCACGGTGGATGGAGGGAAGTAAGTGGTATCTACAGAATAGAAATACCGACCCGGTTGACGGAGTGTCATCGCGGGCAGGTATACGAATGACATTGGCAAAGCAAGTGGAAATTAGCTCCTGAGAACTCCAATATCCTTGAATTGTTTCTGTTTACTTTTCCGCTCTAATTGTTATTTATTGCAATATTGTTGCTTTACTTGTTGAATTGGGATTGTTACTTGAACAATATACTTGTATGTGTGTTCTTGACCTCACGAGCGTTTTGCTCACCCTGTAGATTTGTTTTCCTTAACAGGTTTGGACTTAGAATGAGGTTTGGAGAAATTTCTCTTTTGTGTTGTCATGTAATAGGGTTCCAACTCTTTTATCTAGACTTTTGGATATTGTATAATTTGGGTTATATTATGGAAACCCGATGTAAGGATTGAGTGATTGTTATAGATCGTACGCTTGAATGCTTCTGCACTATTTGTATGTATATGTTTTGGTTGTTGACTTCTAGTACCGCTATAAGTTTGAATAGAAATTGCTTGAGTCCTGGTGAGATCTGGGCAGGCGTCCGGCGGATACCCTTTGGTTCGTCTTAGGGAGAAGTGGGGGCGTCACAACATGTAGTTGGGAGGACCCGAAAATTTTCTTATTTTTATCGAATATTACTAGTTTGTTTAAATATTTATTCACCTGTTTGCTCTAAATATTTTATTCCAAACTTTTTTGACCCAATTACAGGGAATTATGACTTACCTGTATTTTTAAAATGGCTTGTTACAAAAATTATTTTTGGGAAGCTCATTTAGTGAAAATAAGTGGATGTGCGTGTGGAGGTAATAATCAATTTAAGGGTACAATGAGATTGGAAATTGAAAACTTATACATTAGTCTTGAAATATGTATTTTTATGTTTAAATACTCAAG